TAAAAAAAATACAATAATAAATTCCCACTGTTTTCCCAATTTCCTCTAAGCTGACTTACTAGGTGTCTGGTGAGAAAGCTGCTCAACCACTTCACCTTAATTAAGGTGTTACACCAAACCAATTGGTGTCAAGTGATGATTCCACATATTTGATATCCTTAGATCATATAGGTAATTTTTTACTATAAGTCTTATGTCTAGATTAACTGACACACATTTTAACTAATTAATTTCATAAATATCTACACAGAAAAATCATTGTTTGCCTCTGTTAAATTGTTGAACTCAAGACATTGTGATTTTCAACTCGATCACCTCATCAACAACCACTCCATAATTTTGACAAAGAGATCCAAAATTTTGGCCTACAACTAATCACTTACTTTGATGAGCTTCTACCATGTGGCTCAATTTATTACATACTAGTACTTGACTAACTAGCACTAATTAATGGACCAAAGGATTAGGTCATCCACATCCACATTAAGATCTTTATTATTTATTTTGTAAGAAATGAAAAGCCTACTACTAATTAGAAGACAATTGGTGAAAATGATGAAACACATAAAGACATTTGTATATGATATGTTATTATAAATTGCTCAAAAGTGACTTCACTTGAGAGTGAAGAAGTCTTTAATTAGGTATTTTGTTTTACCAAAAGTGGATGCTACATATTGACAACTAACACTCTTCCAAGTAAAGTTTGGCCACTCCTTGTCTGTCTTCTCCCCATAATATGCCCATTATATATAAACATTTTGATGCCCTACTTTGGCTTTATGCTTGCTCATGCCCTTTCACTAAATTTTGAGCAATAGTGAATCTTTCAATTACTAGCTAGAAGCAAGGCTAGGTACTAGCATCCACAATTCCCTATTATATTATTTATTATGTCTTAAACATTTGTGATTTGACAATGTATATATAACAACTTGTATCGCTTCTACTCAAAATTTATTTGCACTTGATATTTATATTAAATATATTGACTGATTCAACTGATCAAATTAATCAATCAAAATTGACTTCAGTCATTATGAGTTGACCAGAAGCAAAATTAAGCTAATTAACTATGGTTAAGTGATATTGGTTAATAGGAGTAAATGTTATGCATTCATCTTGGATTTTTGTAAATATCAGGGGTTTATTCGATTCTATTTCTGAAAAAGTATATGATATATATAAGGATAAAATTATTTTTATGGGTATATATAATAGATGTCAAATCATTTTAACTTCTTTAAATGTTTATCTTTTAATATTTTAAATTCAAAAAAATACTGGCTTCGCAACCGCGCGTAGATAAGTCTTCCAAGTTCCAACAACATTTTTTTGTCTCTTCTTTGTTACAAAAATGTATTGTACAAGGCTCTAAATTTCAGCAACTAATTCCCTTTTTTGTCATACACTATGAATCCAAAATTGCAATTCACAATTTCATAGATTTTTCCATTAATAAGGTTTAATTTTTCTAACTGTAATTTGTCGTAATACCTAAGTAAACTCTTCTGTTGTAACGCAAATTACTCTTTTAGAATTTCCTAATTGGGTACGTAATTAACTCTCTCTTTTTTTCCATGTAGACACAAAGTTGATTTTTTTAATTTAGGGTTCATTGCATTTTGGTCCCTCGGCTTTTGATAAATTCTAATTTTAGTCCAGTGATATCTAACTAAATATATATAATATCTTTAATTAATTGAAACGTGTAAATTTTGATCCTTTTACTTGTGAATATTTACAAATTTACCATAATTACTAATTGTTCCACCATTTAATTACTCATTCGTTTCGTTAAGCTAGTATTATTACTTGATCTATAGCTAACGGTAAGGCAATATAGTTCTATCAATGGTTAGAATATAACATACCTACCTCCTACATAAAAAGATAAAAAACCGTACATTATAATTGATGAAAGTTAAATGTGTCAAGCCATATATTATAAAAGATCCAAATTAGAATTTATAAATAATTGAGGCACCAAAAGTGCAATATAAACATCCTTTTAAAAAACTAGATAACTTCTTCTTATTTACTTAAAATTTTGTGGGCAATTATACGGTAACTATAATCTATCGTCAATAAAAGAATAATAAATATTCATTGTATAACAGTTCATTATGCGCGTAAATTAATCCGAACACTGATATTATAAAAGTGTGACTCCCGTGACAGATCCCTTTTACCTCAAGTCAAAGCAAGATCTACCAAAGCCTTTGTTAATTTGTCGGTCAGAAATGAAGGAGGCTTGCTGAGGAGCTTCACTTATTCACAAGCAAAACCAAGTCTTATAATTTCTTATTCGATGGTCAATATTCATTTTGGAGTCTGATTAATTTTAATTTGAGATAAAAAAATTCACTTTACTAGGTAAAAGGTTTTCTATTAAAAGCGACTTTATATTCAGAATTCAAACTCGAGAATACTTTTGATTAAGAATGAAGAGGTACTTTACCGTGACTGACTAGTATTACTAATAAAAGTAAAGTTAATCCTTAAGCTTAATTGGTCCACTTTGTGTGAATATGAGATCTGGAGAGCTAGGTGACACATACAGTTTACATGATTAAAGATATATTAGAATATAAGTAAAGTTCATTAATGATAAGCACGTCAACCCTTTTAATTAATAAAAAATATAGAATTAACAACTATATTAGCTAGTTTTTGCTGGTGGTTAGGCTCTTGAGAGTTCATGTTGAACTGTATATCTAAGTTGAGAGTAGTTGGATAGATAGTAACTTGTTATTTCATTAGTTACACATTTGCTCGGGACAAATTCAAGATTTAAATTTTTCAAGTTTTTACAATGACTTCCAAATATACAAATAATTATTAACGTGAATTGTTAGTTTCATCTCCAAACTATTGACGGTCTTAGAAAACACCCTTTACTTAACTAACCAAACTTGGTGAAAGCTGAAAGGTATCAAATATTGAGTATATTGTTTGTAGTTACCATCAAATAGACCCCAATTTGGGAGATAGAGAGTCTGTATCCGATAGACTCTCGCTCAAGAAAATAACTAATATTTTATTATATATATATGGTAGACTAGAAACTGATAAATGGCAGTACTCCTAGTGGAAAGAAATTAGTTAAGTAATGGCACAGACTATGTGTCTCACGTATGCAAGTAAATCCATATATGAATGGAGCTACTAGGAACCCATCCACTGCTAATTCTTTTTTTTTTTTTATCTTTTCTTCTATTTATTTATTTATTTATTTATGTAGTTATAGAAAATGCTAACAATGATAAATGGTGCATGTGTTACTTTTTTTATATAGATACAGATAGATAATGGTTCATTCATGGCAACTTCTCTTCTCACCAGCAATGCTTAGAGAATACTCATATCATATAGTACTATAAAATCCCAACTGAAGTTATCTGTATGGGACCTATGTTTTTTTTCCCAACTCGGTGTTCAGAATTCACATTCGAGTTCAACTAAATTCGGATCCGTGCCGGAAAGTCCCACTTACCCTAAACAAAAGTGACTTTGTACCTAAGGGACTCGAACCCAAGAACTCTTGATTAAGGATGAAAACATATTTATCACTCCATCCGAACCCGGTTGGTAGTGGGACCTATGCTTTACCTGTTCCTTTGGATGGATATCATGCAAGAATTAGTTAGGGTAGAGCACTCTGCCACTACTTCTTTGACTTCATAATTTGTGTTAATTAAAGACTTCTTCATGACTTTAATTTAACCCCCCCTCCCTCCAGGGTACTTGCTACCTGTACTTTGATACTAATTGCTATTTCCCCTTTCTATGTAAAAAGCCCATATGGGGTGCCAGAATTAAAGATTGTTTCTTTCATGTCTGAACATTGTCATGATCTAAATTACTGCATGACAATGGAATGTATTGAAAAGTGCAATATTTCCTCTCTTTTTTTATAGACTATAGAGAAGATAGTATAGTGATAGCTGCATAACAATATTATCTTTTAGGAGCTTCGGGCTTTTTTTTTTTGAATTCCAGATCATTCGAACTTACAACTTTAAAGTTGAAAGAAAAGTGAGGAATTCTTACCATCCGAGCAATTCCCTCTTATCACGTCGAATGGAAAGCAGTAGTAGTAGTAGAATTTTAAAAAATATCTCACTTGGACGAAAAGGTTGAGATGTGGCAGAGTCAAAATGCACCCATAAGCACTAAAAAGCACACGCAGATCCTGCTGGAATTACCCACTGTCTCCGGCTGCATCTAAGGGCTAAAAAATCTACATGGCCCACACTTGTATCTATGGGTGGGATGTGTATTGTGTCATTTTATTGTCTTCTAATAAAATGATATGTATATATATATATTACTAAAAATTCAGAAAGTATGGAGTAAATTCACATTCCCATAATAAAAGATTCTACTACTTATCTGTTTACTCGCACACAAGGATGTAGCCTAAGTGATCGATGAAGTTGGTGCAAACTGCAAACATCGGATAGAAGGGTGCAAATTCTAGTAAAGACAAGTTATTAGGGGAGATTCTCTCATATGCTTATAAGCTATGGTAAATAGAGTTACTTAATACATACGTTGATAGAAGATAGCAGGTACCCAGTAGTCCAATGTCCTCAAAGAAGTGATGGGCACAACCAGTACCTGCTAAGGCCATGAGCTTCCTATTTACATGACTTGATTTGAATTGATTGATGCCATCAAGTCAATCAAGGAGTTAACACTTCACTATCAATGCAACCAACCCTCCTTCTAAGTCCAATCATACAGTTTACACTTCACTCTCAATACAGCCAGCCCTTCTAAGTCGAATAATACGCCGAAAAAGGAAGTATCTTGAAGTATCGGGCCAAAAGGAAAACTGGCATTGTGCCTAATCAGTCAGACTTCTGGTACAAATACATATAACAAATTGGATAGTGAACAATGTTCAACAATGGTAATAACCAATTGAGATTCGCAGGCTGAGAAATAGAAAGAGGATGATGTACAAGGGGAACAACAAACAAAAAGAGAGGATATTCTGTACAGAACTAAACTTCAATAATTTAAACGGATCTTCATCCTCCTTTTTTGAAATATGGATCAATTAACCATATAGCTTAACTTTACAAATATTATTTAAGAAACTACCGTCAGTCAAGCTTCCTAGGAATCTGGTGCTAAGACAACAAAATAATGGCTACTGTACAGCTCCAAAAGTTTAGCATCCATCAGCTTATGTAACACCCTTGCAATGCCATTTCTTACATCTGGGTTAGAAAAAATACTCCCACTATTATGAATATACAAGGAAAACTGGAACGTGCACATGAAACATTACCAGATTGATTCCACCACACATCCCAGCTTCTGCGGCATGAACGTAAATGTGTCAAAACTTAGCTAAACCCCTGAATAAAAGAATCACATCCCCCTTTTTTTTTTTCTTTTTGTTGAAAGACAAACTAGAGTTAGACTAAAGTTTAACCTCTAACCATCTCGGCTCTTGTATATCCAGGCTCCATCACCAAAGACTTCTTCAATCATAGTGGATGTTGGAACCAAACCAATTTCATTTCTGGCACTGCTCAAGTACCCACCATCCCATTCTTTGCCATTACACAACTCCAACAGACTATCATGCTTGGTGCCACTGCCTATACCAGCAATATCGCTTGCCCAATGATTATCATTGTTGGTCTTCCCTAGTGATGATTCTGAAGTAACCCCAGCTGCATCAGTGGTACAGGACTCAACCACTTTACTTGACGGTCCTTGGTCTTGAGGCTGCATGCCAACTTTACAACTGTTGTTACTATCAAAAAACTTACTAGGACATGATTCCTGCACATCAGTGAAGACCTTACTGCTACCAAAATTTACAGGCTTATAATCTTCCCATATTGCTTCACGCACATCCTCATCATAAGTTCGTCTATCGTGCTCCTCATGGATCATATTGTAGCTGAGACCATTATGATATGCTGGAGATTCAACCACAGAGTCCTCATCTTCATCTGTCATTTTAGCTGCCTCATCAGCATCATCAACTGTGTCATGCCACTCATCATTATCACTGTCTATGTTCAGTGGATCAAATCTGTTCTGCTCAGCACGTTTTCGCAAAATAAAGACATTAAAATAATAGCTGACAAGTTCTTCCCTACGCCGTGAAGGAAACTCAATAGCAAGATGGTTCCAAAAGTTATTGCCTAACGAGGCAGGATTGGACAATACAACCTCATGAAATAGTTCCTCTTCCTCTTCACTCCATTTTTCTGCAACTACCTCTCCCATGTCACAAAAACCCAACCTAACAAATGTCTCCTCGCCAAGGGCTAGCTTTAGTTTTTCCCTTGCTTCGATGACGTCTAGTTGAACACATCTTATGGAACCTTTATCTTCACATGAACATTCAACTCGTCTCTCTCCAATAATCTCGACCTGATCTGCAAGTAGCTCCATTTTAGGCATTGGAATGATAGTCCTTCCAGCAAGTTTGTTTTCATTGGCTTGAGATGGAGGACTCACAGTTTCATGTATACCTTCTATGCATGGTTTATCCTTATTACTATATGGTGTCCATTCTGGTAGCTCTGCCTGGAAATCTGGTCCAATGGGTACCATCTTTTGAGGATTACTCAAAAGAGAAGAATATATCTCCCTGTGATGAGCAGCAGCCCTGAACGGATGATCAAAATAGTAATATTCAGTAGACGTCAATCTGTGAAAAGGAGCCTCAGGCCTGATGTCTTCCTCACTGGTGCTACTGGTGGGCCAGGAAGAGTTTGAAGCAGATCCATGAATGCCCATCTCAGTTTCCTTCTCAGAAGAAAAAAGAACTTCAGCCACAACGTGACTATCAAATTTCTTGTTTGCATCAGGGAAGATTTTCGAAGAGTTGTCCTCATCACCATCTACAAAATCCATAGATAACAGACAGTCGATCAGAGTATGGAGCAAAAATATTCATTTAAGATCCAAAATCTACTCTTACAAGAGCAAGCCCATAAAGTAAGGTGTCAAGGAAACCACTCCAAAGTTAAAAATACTTGGCAGGTCTTACAGCATACTGCACTCCACCAATGACTTGAAGCATTTTTAACAATGATATATAAAGCAGCAAAAACAGTGCGAAGAATATCTCAGAGCTAACAAAATAATTTGTTGTTACCTGAAGCATAAGCATCCACAACAACTGATTCACGAGAAAGTTCCAAAACTGAAACTAGCTGACAACTGGGTTCATGCCTTGGTTGCTTAGATGAAACCTCATACATATCCTCTTCACCGTAAGGTCTTTTTTGCACCATAATTAGCTGCAAGGAACTTAAAAATATGAGATACTTAAACATAAAAGGAAATAAGTTCAAAGATAAAAGGCACAGGAGGAATCCCACTGAATCAAACACAGAAAAAGGGTAAAGACAGCATTTCAACCCACAGCTCTAAAATCTCAGAAGAATATTTTTAAATCAAGTATAACTGTATTGTCTAGCTGAAAAGAAATACATTAACATAAACATCACATCACATCAACTCTCAATAAACAGAAAAACCAACACAATGTTGTCCATACATGCATTAAGATACACTCACAACTGAGCTTCATGATAGCATGTCAAGCATAGCAGCCAGATGCGCCCCTATTCGACTATGAACAATCATATGCACTAAATGATATTGACTCGGAACAACACGACAATCCCTTACATGAAAATTGAAATATTACCATACACGTCTGGCCATCTCATCACAACATATAAATACAATACAAGACTATATTAACAGCATATAAACCTGCCAAAGGAGGCTAATTAAGGTTCTAGTTCCTAATTAGTGATACGTGGCAGGAGATAAAACAGTGATGCCACTGAAATTAGTTTTATTATTATAGCCCTAAAGAACAGAAAACTGAAAAAGAGACCCATAAGTTTGACTAATTACATGTAACAACAAAATTGACAAATTAGGGTACCTTGAACGGGACTCTGTTATTTGTCTTCGTCAAAATTGGGGTAGCGAATTATTCAATTTGAACAATTCGAGGACGGGGATACAAATTCGGGTAAAATAATTTTATCTTTTTGGAAAATTGAGGGGTAAAAAATATAAATTGCAAATTTTATTGAAAACCCTAACCCTAGATCCCCAAATCAGATTCAACTCTTCAATCAAAAATAGAATAATCAAATTCAACTCAAAATTGGTTCAAAGAAATCAAATTGAAGGCGAAAGAAAACGAATTAAACAAGAAACCCCAAATCCATAAACTAATTATATCGAAAGATCAACCCAGTTTTTCTTTCACAAAAAAAAAGAGAAACCAAGGAAGGAAAAACAAAATAAAGATATAACAACCGGTGAATTTCACAAAACAAGCGATGAATCGAACAGATCTAGAAGATACAGAAGAGATCTAAACCCTAAAATCGAAATTGGATTTACCTAACGGATATAGCCGAAAGAGGTATCAAAAGAAAGAGGAGGGAACGAATTAGATAAACCGGAGATTGATTTGAAGTTTCAGATGAGAAATCGAGGTCAATTTGTGGGGAAGAAGAAGATGGAATAGAATTGGGGGAAAGTCGTTGAAGATAAAAAGGTGAAGGTAGAGCCCTAGTGGGTTGCGGAAATCTGTTATCGGGCGGGTCCGAAATTAGTAACGCGGGGAAGTCCAAAAAAAAGCTGCGCCAAATGTAATTTGTTAGCCTAATTGGTTTAGAAATTATATAGTCATTCACGTGGTGATATATATTGAATATCACGTGCTCGAATAAAAAAAAATTATGCTTATTTTATTGGAAAAGGATATGGTGAAAGATGATTACTTATCCTTACTCGTGTAAAATTTTATCACGTTTCAATTTAGAAATTAATAATTAATGTATTATAATTTAGTTTCTAATTTATTGTCCCTTAAGAGGTAAGGATGTGCAAAAATTGAACCGATTAATAATCGAACAAAAGAAAAAAATGCTATTGCTTTATTGTTATTGTGTTAATGAATCTTTAATGATTTTACAAAAAAATTATCAGATTAACAGTTCGGTTTTTAATTTTCTTAATATTGGATAAAGTGTAAAATTGATAACCCATTTAGTGTAGTAATTTATTCCTTTACCCTTTTTTAAAAATATCAAATATTAATATCAGTACATTACTGGTCATTACATTTATCCTTTAACCTTTCATTTGCGTTATTGTCCTAGTTCTTTTATTTGTGTTTATTTCATTTGCCCTTTAACCTTACATTTATATTATTGTCCTAGTTCTTTTATTTGTGTTGCACTTGTATATTTCATTTCAAGTTAGTTACTTATGATTTATTTTATGAGCATTATGTAAAGTTATATGAGAAAAGGATCAAAAATATCCCTCAACTTTGGTTTACTGTTTGACTTTATCCTTGCCGTTAAAATGAAGTTAATTTTACCCCTCCCGTTACTAATTTTACCATATTTACCCCTCATTTGACGAAAAGTCCAAAATTGACCCAAATTATCCGTTTTTTTTTTAAAAAAACCACTCCCTATTTTTAACCCAATGCCCCGATCCCTTTAGAGGACCCGTATAACCCAATGCCCTGTTACCCATTCCCTTTTACCCATTCTCTCTTTGAAAAGATAATTTCCTTTTCTCCATCAGAAGCTAAGTCGAAGAACGATGAGTTGAAGAAAAGATAACCCCTTTTCTCCATCAGAATTTGTACTTATGGTTGTTAAGATATCGAAGTGAACAAATCTTCTTTGATTATTGTCTTTCTATAACATTTAGTTGTTGATTACGAGTTAGGATTTGTCTCCAAATGTCTGACTCATTTATTTGCCTTTTTACCGATATGTATTAACACATTCGGATTACTAATGCAGATTCTGCCTCTCTTTAGCAAGCATCAAGTAATACATTTCAACTGAACAGATACTAGGCTAGCAAACAATGGGATTCCTCTTGAGCTTCAAAAACTCAGATATCGTGTGAATTTTCAGGCATTGAAATTCACTCCAGATATTGAGGCTTTGGGAGAAAAATTGGTACGAATGCTTTAGGGGAGAGGGCCATTTGTAGCATTGCATCTAAGATACGAGATGGATATATGTTGGCATTCTCTGGTTGCACCCATGGCTGCATTGAGGAGGAAGCTGAGGGGTTATACAGGTTAATCGGGTTATCCTCTAGAGGGGTCGGGGCATTGGGTTAAAAATAGGGAATGGTTTTTTTTAAAAAAAATTCAAGTAATTTGGGTTAATTTTGGGCTTTCCGTCAAATGAAGGGTAAATATGGTGAAATTAGTAACGGGAGGGGTAAAATTAACTTCATTTTAACGGCAAGGGTAAAGTCAAACAATAAACCAAACTTGAGGGGTATTTTTGACCATTTTCCCAAATTATACTATTGTCTTGTTGCATCAAATTATTGGAGAAGCCATAAATTAATTTTATCAGCATTTTCTTATTTATAAATAAAAAATCAAACAGTTAAGAACCAAAAATCAATAAATCAAAACTGATAAAAGACCTGTTATTGGTTTGATCATTAATTTAGCATATTGAAAAATCAAAATCGATAATATATAAAATTGAAATTTATGCATACCCCTATTAAGAAGTGTGTCAAGGCAACACTGCACAAGTAAAAATGAATGAAAAGACTACTTTTTACTATTAAAATTGAGACCGACACAAATGTGACATTTAAAAGGCATATAACAGAATAAAAAGAATCTCTAATAATCGAAACTTCACCTATACGATTTTCTTCTCCTCACTTTTTGTCTAGTCAATGAATAGAAGGCAAAATTCAATATACTTTTAAGAATTATATAAGATATGGTAAACAAAGTTACTCAATACATATGTAGTAAAAGATAGCAGGTAGTCGGCAAATCAACGTCCTCACAAAGAAGTGAGAACAGAAGTATAGAAAGAGGATGGTGTGCAAGGAATATTCTGTGCAGAACTAAACTTCAATAATTTAAAAAGATCTAAATCCTCCTTTTTTGAATTATGGCTCAATTGACCATATAGCTTAACATTACAAATATTATTCTAAGAACCTACTGTCAGTCGAAAGCTACCTAGGAATCTGGTTTTAAGTCAACAAAATAATGGCGCTACTGTACAGCTCCAAAAGTCTAGCATCCATCAGCTCATGTAACACCTTTGTAATGCCATATCTTACATTTGGGGTTAAAAAAAAAAAAACTCCCACCATTATGAATATACAAGGAAAACTGGAACATGTACATGAAACATTACCAGATTGATTCCATCACATAGCCCAGCATCTACAGCATGAATGTGAATGTGTCAAAACTTAGCTAAATCCCTGAATAAAAGAATCGAACCACATTTTTTTTCTTTTTGTTGAAAGAGAAACTAGAGTTAGACTATAGCTTAACCCTTAACCATCTCGGCTCTTGTATATCCAAGCTCCGTCACCAAAGACTTCTTCAATCATAGTGTGGGTTGGTACCAAATCAACTTCATTTCTGGCACAGCTCAAGTACCCACCATCCCATTCTTTGCCATTACATGACTCCAACAGACTATCATGCTTGGTGCAACTGCCCATACCAGCAATATCGCTTGCCCAATGTTTATCACTGTTGGTCTTCCTTAGTGATGATTCTGAATTAACCCCAGCTGCATCAGTGGTACAGGAGCCACCTTGCACTTCTTGCTCAATCACTTTATTTGATAGTCCTTGGTCTTGAGGCTGCGTACCAAGTTTATAAATGCTGTTGTTATCAAACTTACCAGGACATGATTCATGCACATCCGTGAAGACCTTCCGGCTACCAAAATTTACAGGCTTATAATCTCCCCATATTGCTTCACCCACATCCTCATCATATGTTCGTCTATCATGCTCCTCATGGATCACATTGCAGCTGAAATCATTATGATATGCTGGAGATTCAACCACAGAATCCTCATCTTCATCCGTCATTTTAGCTACCTCATCAGCATCATCAACTGCGTCATGCCACTCATCATTATCACTGTCTATGTTCAGTGGATCAAATCTGTTCTGCTCAGCACGTTTTCGCAAAATAAAGACATTAAAATAATAGCTGACAAGTTCTTCCCTCCTCCGTGAAGGAAACTCAATTGCAAGATGGTTCCAGAAATTATTGCCTAGCGATGCATGATTGGACAATACAACCTCATGAAATAGTTCCTCTTCCTCTTCACTCCATTTTTCTGCCACTACCTCTCCTGTGTCACAAAAACCCAACCTAACAAATGTCTCCTCGCCAAGGGCTAGCTTTAGTTTTTCCCTTGCTTTGATGATGTCTAGCTGAACACATCTCATGGAACCTATATCTTTACAGGAACATTCAACTCTCTTCTCTCCAATATTCTCAACCTGATCTGCAAGTAGCTCCAATTTAGGCATTGGAATAATAGTCCTTCCAGTAAGTTTATTTTCATCGGCTTGAGATGGAGGACTCAGAGTTTCATGTATACCCTCTATGCATGGCTTATCCTTATTACTATATGGTGTCCATTCTGGTAGCTCTGCCTGGAAATCTGGTCCAATAGGGACCATCTTTTGAGCATTACTCAAAAGAGAAGAATATATCTCCCTGTGATGAGCAGCAGCCCTGAACGGATGATCAAAATAGTAATATTCAGGAGATGTCGATAAGTGAAAAGGAGCCTCAGGCCTGTTGTCTTCCTCACTGGTGCTACTGGTGGGCCAGGAAGAGTTTGAAGCAGATCCATGAATGCCCATCTCAGTTTCCTTCCCAGAAGAAAGAAGAACTTCAGCCACAATGAGGCTATCAAATTTCTTGTTTGCATCAGGGATGATTCTCAAAGATTTGTCCTCATCACCACCTACAAAAATCCATAGATAACTGACAGTCAATCAGAGTATGGAGCACAAATATTCATTTAAGATCCAAAATCTACTCCTACAAGAGCAAGCCCGTAAAGTAAGGTGTCAAGGAAACCACTCCAAAGTTAAAAATACTTGGCAGGTCTTATAGCCTACTGCACTCCACCAATGACTTGAAGCATTTTTAACAATGGTACATAAAGAAGCAAAAACAGTGCGAAAAATATCTCAGAGCTAATAAAATAATTTCTTGTTACCTGAAGCATAAGCATCCACATCTACTGATTTACGAGAAAGTTCCAAAACTGAAACTAGCTGACAACTGGGTTCATGCCTTGGTTGCTTAGATGAAACCTCATACAGATCCTCTTCACCAAAAGGCCTTTTTTGCACCATAATTAGCTGCAAGGAACTAAAAAACATGAGATGCTTAAACATAAAAGGGAAGAAGTCAAAGATGAAAAGCAGAGGAGGAAAATGCCTTCAAATTCTTCCTGTTATAAGAATATTATGTAGCACTGCATATAATTTCGTAATCACATAATTGGATTAAAATCTATGTTGCTCGGACTCTTCAAAAATGTCAAGGGATGCGTGTCGGATTCGCTAAAAGTAGTGTATTTTTGGAGAATCCGACACGGGTGCGGCATCGAAAGTGAAGAGTCCGCGCAACTTAGATTAAATCCCACTAAATCAAACACAGAAAACCTGTAAAGACAAGAATTTCAATCCATAGCTATACAATCTCAGAAGAACAGTTTAAATCAAGTATAACTACATTGTCTAGCTAAAAAGAAACATAGTATAACATAAACACCATATCAACTCTCAATAAAAGAAAAACCAACACAATGTTGTTAGTAAATGCATTTAGATATACTATGTCGAGAAAATGACAACTGAGCTTAATGATAGCAGTAGTCGAATCTCTCATTCATTCATTAATGGGTTATCAAGTGATTAGCCAGCTCAATCCATATATCCATCCGATAATATTAATTCATAGGAGGACGGACTATGTTCAACCTGTCTTTGATAGGCAGCTAATGCCACAACAAATACAGACAACACTACATTGACAAGTGCAACAACATGTAAAACCACAAAGGAGGCTAATTAGAGTAGCGGATTTTTCACCTTGAACAACTCAAGGACGGGAATACAAAATTCGGGTAAAATTATTTTATTTTCTTGGAAAATTGAGGGGAAAAAAATTATGAATAGCACTTTTTACCAAAACCCTAACCCTAGATCCCCCAAATCAGATTCAACTCTTCAATCAAAAATAAAATAATCAAATTCAACCCAAAATTGGTTCAAAGAAATCAAATTGAAGGCGAAAGGAAACGGATCAAACAAGAAATCCCAAAATCCACAATTTCTGTCACAAAAAACAGAGAAATCAAAGAAACAAAAACAAAATAAAGATATAATCACCGATGAATTTCACAAAAAAAGCGATGAATCGAACAGATCTAGAACATACAGAAGACATCTAAACCCTAAGATCGAAATTCGATTTACCTATCGGATAGAGCCGAAAGATGTATCAATAGAAAGAGGAGAGAACGAATTAGACAAATCGGAGATTGATTTGAACTTTCAGATGAGAAATCGATGTCGATTTGAGGGGAAGCAGAAGATGGAATGCAATTGGGGAAAAATTGTTGAAGGTAAAAAGGTGAAGCTAGAAGCCCTATTCTGTTATCGGGCGGGTCAGAAATTAGTAACGCGGGGAGGTCCAAAAAAAGTTGCGCCAAATGTAGTTTGGGATAGTGAAATAATAATAATAGGCACGGATCCCAATGTGATTTGTTAGCCTAAATTAATTTAGAAAGTAATTGGTCATTCACGTGGTATATATAGGAATATCACGTGCTCCATTTATTATTTTTATGGTTCCTTTAGTAGTAAGTATTTATTACTCTCTTCGAGTGGAAAAAGATCTGGTAAAATATCATTCAAGTTATTATAATATCTTTATCCTTTCTCGTTTGAAATTTTGCCACGTTCACATTTTTAATACGTAAAGTATGTCTTTTATTCTTTTCTTTTTTTCTCCGTCTTATTATCTTTACTACTACTAAAGATGGTTTTTCTTCGGGAAAAAGGTCTGAAAAATATTTCAACTTTGGTCGAAATTGTTGTTATGATGCCAAACTTTATCGATGACATTTTACCCCTGCACTATTTAATAGTGTATTTTAAAGGTATATATGTGCCCACGTGGACACATTACTATTTAAAATGATGCAATATTTATGATGTCCACGTAGGCATATATATACCTTTAAAATACACTATTAAATAGTACGGGGGTAAAAGGTCATTTTCAAAATTTGGTATCGTAACAGCAATTTCAACCAAAGTTGAAGTATTTTTCAGACCATTTTCCCTTTTGTTCTCTTTATCTTATTGTTTTTACTTTACTACTTAACATGAAGACTTTAGACACGAATATGACATTTAAGAAGCATAATAAAATCATAAATCCACTCCTATGCTTTTGCTTTCTTCACATTTTGTCTAGTGAACGAATAGAAGGCAAAATTTGATTTTCATTGAGGATTGTATTAAATCCAAGACGTAGTATTTCTTTTGAGTTTGGCCATATTTACATCTTAATCAAAAGCTTGGAAAATATTAATGATAGGTTAAATGTGCAAAATTTGGGGTTCATTTAATGCAAATAATTCTGCAATTTTTTTATTTTTCATTTTTTTTCTCAAAATGTGCAAGTTTAGCTAGAAAAGCTTTGAATTTCGATAGTGTAATTTATTTTAGAACTTCAAAAGACTATGTAAAATGCATATGTGAAAATGCAATTTACATGTGTTATGAGTTGATTGAGACAATGTACAGTCTGGAAAAGCTTAAATCGCATTTCTGAAAATAACAATGGAGTTCTGTAGATATTTATGTGCATGTTATAAGGACTGATAATTTTATGTTACAAAAGGTTGCACATATAACCAGTTTTAAGTAAATATATACATAGCTTTTACAAAAAGAAAAAGAAACAAGTGATTGGAACACTTGATATACAGACCATGTACAATTATTCCAACACATCATAGATGCATTGCCCAGTTGTCGAAGTTAACAATTCCATGAAGAACTGTAGAAAGGCCTGAGCAAATTCTTCGCAGTCAGCAGCTATAACTGTTCATTGAAGTCAAACAATTTCAATGCCTTACATTTCCACCCCAACTGCAACAAACAAAATTGACCAGCAGTTAATCAAAATGCATCACCTAATCTGGCATTTCATCGTACTCTGTTGAAACTAATTTTGGCAATCAAATGAACTGGTAGATATATCTATCAGACTCAGAAACTTGCCAGACAACAGAATCTGTTGCGAAGGACACTGTCTATAACAATTATCGTGCACCTTTTTTTTAGATTGAGCATGCTTTCCACAATGGATACCTTCACTGGCAGCCATGTAAGTCTATACTGTTATACAAGCATTGGTTGGGGCGTAAATGATAGTAGGAGCGATATGGTAGGGAAGCTTATCAATGCCAACATGCATATCAACCAGAGACATGAGCATAAGCCTAAAACTGTCATACAAACATTGATTGAGGCATATATGATAGCAGAGGCAATATGGTAATTGGTAGGGAGGCAAGATCAACGCCAACATGCATATCAAGCAATGCCAACAACAATGAAGTAGGCGCATTTAGATATTACAGAAATTACAAGCTGATGCCACCTCTTTTTGTGAAATGCGGTTATTGCATAAACGTGTATTATGGGAGAAGTTTCGTTTTTTAAAAACCCCAAAATAGGAAGTAAGGATATAAAAACAAGATTAATCAGACAGGGTGGAAAGGCTTACAAAAATTACAGCAGTATTGGTGTCACAGATCAACACCCTCATCAAGCCCTTTAGAACTAATTATCACATTTGAATCAATTTGTTTGTCGAACTTCATTTTACGCCTGGTTTCAAATTCTTGGAATCCTTCCATCTGAATGGAAAAAGGTCAGTCAGAGATCCGCATAAGTTACTTTTTCAAGATGCACAGAGGTGAGCACAATAGTGACTTACTTGTTGAAATTGGTCCATAGTGATGGGATTGCCATGTAGGGCTATGTTCTGCAAGCCCTTGCATTCTCTTAATAAATTTGAAGGCATCTGTAAAAATGAGAACCAACAAATCAATAGCTAAAATATGTCTGTAAAATAAACAGATAAGCTAGGAGAAGGGTGAACTCCAGGAATAGCACATTAAAGACAAGAAACTACACTTTGCAAATATCTATATTTGACACAATGACTATTTCATATCAAGTTCAAGACATGAGGATGTTTAATTTAAGGAAACGCCTTTTTGTGCATGTTTTATGGTTGATGAAGAGTTATATAACATATTTATACACAAGTCTGTTGAATAGCCTTGTGTGTGTGTGTGAGAGAGAGAGATAGAGAGAGTGAGTGTGTGTGTGCGCGGGGGCGTGAGTGAGAGTGTTGGAAGAAAATATCAGTTTAACAAAGTAAATATTGCTTTTTGTTACATTATGTGAGACAGACCGTACAACTTTAGATCTACTAATGCTGAGCATGCCTTTACATATATACATGACTCTGTGTGTGTGTGTGAATGAGAGAGAGAGAGACAGACAGACAGAAAGAGACAGCGAGGGAAGTTTGGAAATTACCTGATTGAGATTATTATTGTTCAAACAGAGTGATTTTAGCTGAATGAGATTGCAAACTGAACCAGGAAGCTCTTCAATGGAGTTATCTGTAACAGAAACTTCCAATCATGAGCCTTAGGAGAAACAAAGCTCATCACTTCAATAAAGGCATTGAAGTCAGTAAAAGTACCAACAGTGGATCAGAGAAAAGTAGAAAAATGATACTGTATATCAACTCAAAAATGTATTCCACAAAGACTAGTCATCTCACAGGTAAGAGTTGCTAATGTTCAATTTGATACGCATACAAAGCTATGACACCCAGGAGACCAAAGGAAAAGGAGAAACAGAAAGAATCACAGGAATCATGAGCTAAGAATGAAGGTACCATTTGCTTGCAGTTCTTCCAATGAGCAGCAACTTCCAATTGATTCAGGAAGAACCTTTAACTTGTTGTTTGAAACATTCAACAAAACCAACTGCATTGCCAAAAGATATTATCAATTCGTCTGCTCAAAACTTATCAGTGATAAGGAACTGCTAAGATGCCTGTCTAAGAGTACTAGCTTCCTTCAACAGCATCACCGTGAATACTAGAACTCACAAGTAGCTGATAATCTTTTTATAATAGCATGTGCAAGTGTAAAACAGTTCCACAATCAACAGAACCATTGAACTTGATTCAGAACCCCCAAAACACAACAACAAGAATTTGAATAATAACTTATAATGCAAGTCTATACAGTATTTTATCTGTTTAACAGTGATGACAAAAAAGATAACAGGAAACAAATTAAAACATGAAGCAAGAGGTGTGACAACTAAATAAATGTCACAATAAGGTGGCTTAATAGCACAACTTGATAAATTGATTGGGGTTTCTTTCCTATTACAGAATAATTCTCCAGTCAACGGCATTGGAAAGATCAAAACTAAAATAATTCTTTTGTTAGCTAAACACCTTTAAGGTAAAAATATTTTAACGAACAATAAAACTATGTAGGAGTAAAATCTTTATAGGCACATTAAATAGAACAGAGAAAGCAAGTAACATATAGAGTTTAATCAATCACTCACACTCCGCAAGCTCCCGATTGTGTCAGGCAAGCTGGTCAACAGATTTGCTGAGACAGACAGACGCTCAAGTTTCACCAACTGCCCCACTGAATACATGAAGTTTTTGTAGTTAGAACAGAGAGCCTGGCTCATAAAAGAAAAAAGGAATCCACTTAACATGAGTGATCTAACATATATAGACTTACATTCATCAGGCAAATTTCTGATTCGATTCCCATCAAATGTTGCCACTTTCAAAGACTGGAGTAATCCCAGATTCATGGGAAGGCGCTCAATAATGTTATCAGCTAAAATCTGAATACATATAATTAGAGATACAAGTTTTTTGCTCTTAGCATTAGATTATAAACTTAAGAAATATGTTCACCATTAATACAGTAAAAACTAATGATATCATTGTGAGTAATGAACAAGAAAAATTCTCTGATAAAAGTCCTTAGAAAACCTACAAAGAATTATTCAACAAGAAAAGTAACAGGACAAGTAGAAGAGTTATTATTATGGTCCATTGCAAAGTCCTACATCGGTACTACAAAGTGCTGATGTGGGGTATTTATAGCCTCGGGTTCTCCCAACCTAATAGTTAGCTTTTAGGGCGTGGTTCTCCCTCGGCTATAACAGCTATTTTCTATGCTTTATATTTCAAAATTTATGGTGCAAGATTTTGGAGTGGCTAATCAAGTAATCAGAAATCACCAAGAGTTTTCTTCCCCTTCAACAAACATTTTTTTATTATCTTGCTACATTTAAAGTTTAATCTACCCTCCTTAGGTCCCAATCAAGAATAAAAACAGATAACTATATAGTATTAATGTTGCCTATTCCAGTTCCTACAATTACATTTTCAGGTATATTGCTCTCTTCTTCTCTGTGCCCTTTACAAGAGCTCATATTAAGTTGTTTTCTTTTCAGGGAGGATCATTTTTCCATTGTATTTGCTCAACATGAGTATTAATGGTATCCCACTTATCAAAGTCTTTATGACAGAATGAAGAATTGTTTTTCTTCTATTTCTATTGACATTGCCTTCTGTAGAAACTTTTTCTACCCTAGTAAATTTTTTCCTATAAACAACAACAAATAACACGATAACTGTCTGCCCCATTTCTTCTCCCTAAATCATTTTCATTAGCTTTATATGCATTTTGGCTGCGAGTATATGAGTTTGATACCTTCTCGACAGCTAGCATTTATAATGTGATCTGACGCCAATAGCAGTATAGTTTTCTTTCCAAATAGAATAGATTTTTTCTAATTAATGAGGCCCTAATACATTAACAGACATCAGAAAAAAGAAGAGGAAGTGTAGGATGCAATACTTACAAGACGTTGTAAGTTGGTTAATTTGTTGATCTCCATAGGAATTTCAACTGTCACAGCAGAAGAGTGAGAATTAGCTTCCATGAAAACAACCTTTTTTAAGAAAATAAGTATACAAAAATAATCTTCTAATAGAATTTGTCTTTATACTCTGAAGTGATAAGAAGACAAATTAGGAGCTCAAGAAGCTGGAGAACAATACCCATTTTATTGTGTGTTAAGTCGAGGGTACGTACAGATCTTTCCAGGTCAAAAACTTCATCAGGAAATGTCTGTTCAAAAAAAGGCTAGTCAGGAAATCACAAATATGTGGCCTTTTCAATGGACTAAATATGTTGCCTTATTCAACTGTTTTAGCATTTCATCATAGTAAGTATCATCCATCAAAACAAACAAACAAGCAAAAAGTAACTCCTCTGACAATGATTACTATCCCGCCTCTACTTCCCACAATCTGCATTTGTTCACTTTAACCTCCTCGTAAATCAGAAAAGAAACAACAAAAAGATTTGCATGGGAAAGTCTCCTCTATAAAGACGCTTGATTATCTTTCGCTATCCTGGTTAACTTAAAGCATCTCTTGGTGTATAAACTACAAACTCCTGCCTATAGAGTCCAAGCTCCGTGTCAAGCTCTACCATGCATAGCAATGTTCATTTATGTCATGGTATTTGACCAGATAAAAGAGTTAAGAAGTTAAAAGACTTAAGTATTAGTGTCATGTACAACAAACAACAAGAACACATCCAGTATAATCCCACAAGTGGGATTCTACCTTTGTGCTCGAAAGCATGTATGACTAACAGTTACTTAAAAATTAGTCTTATAGAAAACTCATCACTTCATAGTTTAAATTTTGAATAGTTCAATGAATTTGATCTAAATAGAAAATGATATTTAAGAGAACATTTTTGGAATGCTAATCAAATAAACATGAGAATACAATGAAAATCAGAATTAGTGAAACGAAAGGTCAGACATAATTGTGAGATTGCAATTAAAAATATTTAGATGTCAGATTAAGATATTGCAGAAACACGAAGAATAAAGGGAAATGCCTTCAATTTGGAGTCGCGTAAAGCAACGATTCCAGTGGACCGCCATCGCGAAATTGTGCCAGCATCAGCGGACTTGCTACTGCGGCACCCCATTATCGATGATTAAAAATGATGGATTTTTCTCTAACTTCTCGGAGTTATCGAAGAAGTTGGGGTTGATAAATAAGATGAATAAGGTCTCCAATCTGTTTAGAGAAGAAAAAGCGTCGGAGACCTTTTCTGTCGTTTGGATATCCCCGAAGGGACACCAAAGGCGTTGACGTCGACGACCGTGGAACTCAGAGAGAAAGAGAAATCCCGACGCCTTTTTGACGGAAAAGCGCGTTTGATATGAAGTGGGGTCTCGATTCTATTTCGATTTTTTTTCGGTCGTCACACACTTTGGTGATATAAATATTCCTCAATTTTTATTTTGCCTTTTCTAGGCCATAATTTACACATTTTCTTATGCGTCTTTTTAATTAATAATAACTATAAAGATAAATGAGTTGTTATATTGTTATAATATAAAGAAGGACAAATTAATCAAATCATAATTAATTTGTATTTATTTTAAATAGATTCAAAGAATGATTATAAAAAAAATTAAAATAGGAAGGGAGGCATAATATCGTAATTCACAGAAAAAATAAGTTTTATAGAGTGAAATCTCAAAAGAATGACCGATAAAATTAAGTAATAAATATTAAAACTAATAAACTTTCCATGATATAGTTGCAGGCAACATATCATGCACTTCACCCTAAATAGTAGTCAACTTAATTCTTTTGATAGTCAACTTAATTCTTTTGAAATTTCACATGTTCAATAGATATTTTCACATGAGTACGTCATTGTAATCCTAGTAAAAGTTAGGTGTATTTTTAATTTACGATATGTAATATATATTTACATATTTCTAATTATTATTATTTTATCAATTCACACTTGATATTTCTAAAAATTATTCAACATATATTGCGATCTAGATAGTAAGTGGCGTAACTTTCAGCATACAAGGTAATATTGAGACAACATAGTTACAAAGGTAGTATATTGAATTATCAACTCTTAGAGTCTGTTTGACATTACTGCTAAAATTGTCTATTTTTCAGAAGCACTTTTCTAAAATGGCTTTCTTAGAAAAGTACGTTCGAAAAAAAAATTGTGTTTGGCTAATTCATTTGAAAAGTGTTTTTTATAAGCAAATTGTGTTTGGCTAATCTTTTTTAAAAAAGTGCTTTTAAGAATCAAATTACGATTAAGGGCAAGTATCAATGTACTTTTAATATTAATATTATTTATAGAGAGAAACTAGTTTAAACATCTTATAAAAAATCAAATTAAAATTTTATTTTTATTAAATTAAAATGTTCATATTCAAATTGTCAATCAATATTATTCAATTTTTTGAAGGGTTGAAATCTAATTGTTATTTTTTTTTCTTTTTTTTTTCTAATCTTACAAATATATTGTTGTTACCTTCTTCTTCTTTTTTTGATTCTGCAAAATAATACGTAAATAATAAATAAAATAATAATACATAAACATAAAATAAAATATAAAATTTATTATATAAAAATTAAAATTATTAAATGGAACTTAACCAAACATATGAGATATGTTAATTAATTAATAAGAGATATATTTAGTCTTGAAAAAAATAATTTTTTGCTTCTACTTTTTTTAAGAAACAAAAAAATTTAGCATCTTCCCAACGGCAGAAAAACTGCTTCTGCTTCCATTTAAAAGCAGATTTAATTTACAGGTTTGCCAAAGACCTATTTTTTTTTAAAAAAACAACAAAATAAGTTCTTCTACACTCCCAACAACAATGTCAAATATGCTCTTAATGTGATGATATTTAATAAGGGTGCTATAAGGTATTTGATGTTATGCAATAAAATATTATATATTGAAGTAATAAGCTCAATTTTACCAATCAACATTGTGATGGAATGGTAAGTAGGTGTCGAGTTCGAGTCACCTTAGCTTGGGTACTTTATTAGGGAGTGCCACGATGTGGGACTTTTGTTGATTTTGATACTCACCTGTTTAGAGAGTTCCCGATGTGGGACTTCTGTTGATTTTGATACTCACTTGTTTAGGGAGTTCCCGATGTGGGACTTCTGTTGATTTTGATACTCACTTGTTTAGGGAGTTCTTGATGTATGACTTCAATGGACCCCCTATCCTCTATGTCAATTTTGACGATTCCTCAAAATAACAACAATATCACGTCTAATGGACTGGACAATTCCCCAAAATAATAATAATATCACGTCTAATGAATCGGTCAATTCCCCAAATAACAATAATATCACATTTATTGTACCCATATACTTATACCCCCTATCATCCGTAGCAATAACAAATCAATTCCCCAAAACAACAATAATATCACGTCTAATGTACCCTTATCCTTCCGTGCCATCCATGTACCCCAATATCACGTCTAATGTACCCCTATCCTCCCCTGCCATTTGTCACCATCAGAGGTAGAATCAGTTATCAGGTGTCAACCATCAGAGGTAGAATAAATTTCTATAAATATGATTATTGTACAAAACTTTATTCCCTGAACACACACTAAACAATGGCCAAAAGAGGTAATTGTCCTCCTCGAGCTAATGCTGCCCCTCCTCAGGGGAGGCTCAATGTCTTTATAAATGAGGCATTCGTCTTAGGCCACCAAATTTGAATGCTCCATTTTTTAGTAATAATAGAATTATTATAGGTATTTTTTAACAAATAAATAAATTGTATTATGTCCTTCTTTTAGTTTGTTTCGAAACATTATACAATGTTTCTTTATTTTTTGTCAATTTTTAAATCTAACTTCCACATGACATGTTTTTAAGACCACACGATTAAAAAATATTTAAATATTAAAGAGAAGAAATAACTTTGAATTTAAAAAAAAAAAAAAAAAGTTAGGTCTCCAATTTGTTTTTGGCTTTAAGCCACTAATTTACTTGAGCCCCATCCTCACCCCTTCCACTTTCAGCCTCTCCAACTACACTTATCGCTCATCATGTTGTAGCACCCGTACATAACCGTGGTGGTCTTAGGGGTTTTGCTAGGATGAGATCCATAGTATTCGATAACAATCACATGCATAAAACAAATAAGTTCGCGTACGACATATGCTACTCCAAATTTGCTACGGCCGTAGATCTGGTTGTCCACGAAAGTTAAGAAAATCACTAATAAAAAAAAATTCACTGACTCACCTCCACCCTCACCTCCTCCACCTCCTGCCTTTCCACCTACACTCATCACTTATCATATTGTAGCACCGCACATAACCGTGATAGTCTTAGGGGTTTTGCTAGGATGAAATCATAAAACAGATAAGTTCGACTGCGGCACCTGTCACTCCTATTTTGCTACTGTATAGATCTGGCTGTCCATAGATGAGTGAATCACTAATAAAAAAATTGTTTGGAAGAAAAAGAAGTTGTTAAAAGAATATGTTGATGAAAAATATGAAGAATAACATAACAATTTTCACTGCTTTTAATTCTGCTTGTTTTAGTGTTTTAGTTTCTATTATTCTAAAGAATGTTCTACTATTTTCGAATTCTACTGTTTTCAGATGTTCTACTATTTTCGAATCCTACTATTTTTGTTTTCTACTGTTTTCGAATATACTTTCTCCGGTTGAGGGAATATGAATACAATTTCTCTACTTTGGAAATATCTACTCTAAATACTTGTTTCTATGGTTGTTATTTCCATTCTGTTAAACGTGTAGGACCAGAAGTGAATTAAATTACTTGTAAGATATGGCTACAATTTGCAGCTCGTAGCTGTATGTCGTTACACGCTTCCACAGTTAATAGTGTAGACTTCACTCCAGTTTATCATTCCGTATTATTTGGCTACCTGAATCTGATAAATATAGCACCAGCAAAATCAAAATAAGTAATCCTCTATAAGATTCGCTTCGAAGTAGCTTTTAATGGAATTGTGGCTGAAGGCAAAAAACTTCGCAGACAAAGCTGCAAAGTGGAGTTAATATCTCAGATGGTCACTCAACTATGCACTCTTCTCTCAGAAAGTCACTCAACTTTCAATTTTAACTCAAAAGTTACTCAACTGTGCACTTTTCTCTCAGAAAGTCGCTCAACTTTGAATTTTAACTCAAAAGTCACTCAACTATCCACTTTTCTCTCAGAAAGTCACTCAACCTATTAAATTGATATTTTAATTAAGATTTGCCGATATAAATTTTTAATTGAGAAACCAAATTTTAAAAGATAAAAAATAACTATTTAATGACCTGCTCCACTTGACCCGACCCGCTAAAAATATAATATTGACCCATTTTATGACTCTTTCTCCTCCTCCTGTGCGTTTTTTCTGGTTCCCATGGATGTTTTTTCTTCCTCTTTTAGTTAGCTTTTTTGGCTTAAGTCATTTGCGGCCCTTAAAGTTGTCCGCATATTTCACTTAGACACCTCAATTTATGTTTGTACCTATTGAACACTTTATATGTTCAAAAATGATTTCTATTGGACACAAAATGATGACATGGCAAAAAGAGTGTATTCCACACTCTTTAAGCGCGTACAAACATTAAAATTAACATTTTTTCTTTTCCTTTTCCACTTGTACACTTAAATTAATAGATAATATAATAATAATAATTAATAAACAAAAAAAAATCTTGTTCAAGATGCAACTGTTCATCATCTCTCTCACCCTCTTCAATTCTTCTCGTGTTTTTTCTTTCTTCTTTTTCTATGATAATTTAATTAAAATCTCAATTATTTACGCAAAACTCTATTATTTATAATATTTCAGTGAAGCAATTGACTATTTTTTCGTAAAAATCCATTATTATTTTTTGTATTGTGATAAATGATTACTAGTGGAAAGAAGATGAAGACAATGGGTGGAAGGTTTTAATGCTATTAGAATGAAATGTAAATGAAGGGTTAGCTTAGATGGACAATAATGATATATTATCGGCGCCGATAAAAGTGATTAAATTCGATGAAGAAGAATTAAGAAAGGGATGGAGGCGCAGAAGCCTGAAAAGGGAACGGAGAAGAAGAAGAAGCAGCTTGGATGTGATGGTTTACTGGAGGACGACGTAAATTAATGGACAGGAAAATAAGTTACGACGGAGAAGAAGAAGAAGAAGAAGAAGAAAGGTGCGTGGGGTGGGGTGGAGTGAGTTAATTTCAAAAATAATTTGTTGTTTTCTTAAAATTGCTTTTTAATTATTTCTAAATAGAGTTATTTAATAAATTAATTCAATTGCCATGTGTCATCATTTATGTGGTCCATTTGTTATGTATAAGCGATTGAGATGCACACATATTTTTCTTTTTATTGATTATTATTTTGTGTCAAATA